AAACGCATTGCAAACATGGTTGCACTGCCATACAGACCATCCAGAAATGCTTCCATGCTACCCAGAACACAACGTCCACTGAAAGACAATTTCGTGGAAGCTAAAACGTAGAGAGAAACGATTCATGGTGCAAAAGAACTAGAACGAAGTCAAATCAATGTTATGAAATGGAAAATTTAAACTGCCTATCGAACCTTCATCCAACATTATTAATTATAATATTATTAATGTTATTAATATAATATTAATATTATTAATTAAGTTTGGTCATTTTTCCACAGTGGAATCCTTCCACACGGATAAACCGCACTTATATCCTTAGATGCTTCCCGTATGACCACCAGTCCATGCAAACGTGTTTTCAAGAACACATCAGCACATCGCGATAAAATTAGGTTAGTCCCGGTTAAATGCAGCTTACTAGCCAAAACCAGGAGGTAACATTGGGTGCCCTGAAGGCAATACATGTAGATGCGAGAGAGGATATTTTTGAGTGATTCAGGGTTTGCAGTCAAGTGCAGCGCATTTGAGCGCATCGAGGAAGGAATGCCTTAGTCCCTTTGTGCAGGCAAATGTTTGTGAAGAAACAGAGCTTAAAATACAAAGGTTTCCAGTATAAAAGTTCTTCATGGTGTGATTGACTGTCGAATCATTGGTGATCGATTACCGCGATAACTTAATTGCCCTGGGACAGGTGGATACGAATCCATTGTTTGATTTACATCGTTCAAACTATGGTTCATGATCAAAGATTCAAGAGTGTTCATCCGTTGAGCAGGAAACTTGGAGGCGGGTTCAGAAGGCTCGATTGTACTACACTCGGTACTATTATAAATCCACAAGACGGTGCCTGGAGGAGCGTAGTTATTTATTAGAAATAACGGTCAGGGAATCAGGAAATTGGCATACATACAACAAAATGTCTCATTGGGGACGAGCCTTCAGAATTCCAACACGCACACAGGATGGTTATTAGAGCGGTTCAATAGTCGATTCGCATTCCTGTAGTTACCACAGTGAGCAAAGCAATCCACAACAATAGGTCTTGTTAACTTTTGACAGTTGAAAAAACCGCAAGTCGCATCCATTTTCGCACTACTCACAAATGCAGCAGTACTTCACAACACTGTCTGAATTAGATCAGTAAGAATGGAGGTCCTCATTATTTCAATCCGTTCTTATGACGGATAGATTTTTCTTGTGGGTCGAGCTATACTGAGTCATAAAATTACCACAGAAAAGTCGCCGGTGACCTCAGCGGATGCACGCCATTTAGTAGGAAACAAACTAATCCCTCCCTGTTCCCTCGGAAAAAATAAGGACATTGATTTCACCAAAAGCAGAACATCAAATTCCGAATCATGTTAGTTTTGCCCCTATTTATTTCACATTTCACAATGTGAACTACACACGGGTTTGTTTTGCAACAGGAAACCAGTTTAATTGATTTCACGTTTGCGCTACTGTTCACTCAATCGTTTGCTACCAACGAATGCCGTTAACACCGCAAGCTGCTAGATGAAACACCTCCGACTGAACAAAAACATTTTCGATTCTTTGATAAACTCATTTTCATGTAGAATGGAAGTAACAGAAAAGTCGTTACTTATCACGGCAAGTTGTATTTTCATCACAATCAACAAAGTGAAAAACAATTCGCCTTATTTTACAGAAAAATGAAATACGCTTACGCGGTAATGAGACGATAATGCTTTGTTTTCATTTATTAGATATAAAAGAAATGTACAATCGATTTTCGGGAAAAGAATTGTGGTCACCCAAAGGTTACTTAAGTGAGAAAGTGCTCGGGGGGAGGACAATGTGATGGGGTGTTCAAACACGTGAACTGTAGAAAGATGAACTGGAGACTTGGCACTCAGGCCAGTACTTGGGGGACAAAGAGTTTGCGTCGATTTATCACAATGTGAAAAGCCATGAAAACAAGTGAACATCACCGACAAAGGTTGCCAGGCAATAGAACTCTGCAGCTTTGCGGAACAGTCGTTGTGGTGTGACCGGAGTAAACAGTCATCTTGAATTGTTCCACGGACGAAATGCGGTCGATTCAGGTCATTCGAATACTCACCTTTTCTTCGTTTACAATTTCCGCTGAGAGGCGGATGAACAAACGCAACGAAAGATCAGCCCGACACAACAAATGGACAATATCTAACCAGTGCAGGTTCCAATTCTTCATTTCAGGTCAAAATGGGAAGACACAGGAAGAACATAATTATGGACTAGCACAGTTCCGGTTGCGAAACCACGCACAACGTCCAGGCCAACGAACACCTCAACCCCCACCACCACCACAGCATCACGTGCAAATAAGACCAAAGTGAACAAAGTGGAACTGGCAATAAATAGAAAGGACAAACTGAAGATAGCCGGAATTGGTACAATTTCGATTGAAATGCTGAAACTCATGCGCGTGCGCTCGCACGTACACGTGTTTGTGTTCGGTAATCTGCACAAGTGAAAAAAATGGTTACTAACTTCCAGTTCGAGATCGCGAGACAAGTCAAACAGGGGGCAAATAAAATCAACCACAGTGAGAAAGATAGGTAACAGTATGCAAAAGGAGAGAGAACAACTGATAGTCATGATGAGGTTCACAATGATCATGGGTTGCAAAGGAGGTGGTAAAAATATCCCACTTTGTCTCCACATCCACCTGTCTATCTGTCTCTCTGTGTCTGAATGTTTGACCAGCAAATCCTATAGACTCAGGAACCGTGAGGCCAGAGGAGAACAAGACATAAGACCAGGCAGGATGAAAGTGATGATGTGCAATTCGAATGCCGTGATCAGAATGAGTTGAACGGGAGGGGAGAGTATACATTACGGTCAATACAACGAGAGAGAGAGAGAAAAAATCACAAATCCTCGTGACAGTAAGTCAAAGCAGTGGTACAAGTGTTAAATCATAGGAGACCCTCCCCCCCCACACACCGGCGAGAGAGGGTGAAAATGGGAGTGGAAGAGACGCGTGAAATCTGATCTGAACAAAATGGAGATCACTGACCACAGAAGATGTCATTTACAAATCGTGTGAAGGTGAAAAAGTTAATGTTATAAGTTGTCTTGATTCATTTCATTCCGACGCTGACAAAGCAAGCAACGTGTTTGGAAAGCAATGTGCATGTTTGCTTTTGTGCGGGGGTGGGATGGTACAGAGGGAAAGGAGAAATAAAACCTACCCCCCCCCCCCCTATATCTGCCACCTCGATCAGTTGTTTCCTGTTTCGCATAGTCCTAGGCGATTTGTTTGAGATCGAAGTAGTAGATCGATTTGGAGATATCAGTGGGCCGGAGGAGCACTAGGCAGGACACGAGATCCTACCATATCGGATAATGCACCCGACTGATTGTGACGCGCGGGCATTTGCAGCACCTGCTCGGAGCCAGCCTCGCGTTTGGCACGGGCTTTGGACAGACGCAGTGGTTTGATTCCTTGCATTCGCATGTAGGAGACCAGTTGGTCTGGGATTTCAGCAAGCACTGCTTTGGAGAGACGACGCTTGCTCTCTGTGACCGAATTCGCGTCATGGAAGTCACGGAACGGGACAAACTGGAGAGAATACGGAAGAGTAGTATTTGAATCTAACCTCGTAAGCGAAGAAGATGCAAGTGTATCAGAAGCGTGTGAGAAACGGAACAGAACTGACTAAAGACAAGCACAAACTACGGAATCAAAACAAACGACAGTTTTACAGCGCGTCACCACATGGAATTTGGTATGAACTGGATTTCTGGAAAAGATACCTGATTGTCGGACAAAAACGGTTGTCGGGATAGAAGAAAGCAATCACAAGGTGAACAAGTAATGTAAAACGGTTTCATATACAGTAAGTAGACCGACACAAAATTTTGTTACGATACCGATTCTATTTCTGGCATTCAGTTCAGTGAATATTATTGATAAAGGACTCAACGCGATTTGGTTCACTGCGCCCATAGGTCACATCAACATCTTCAAACTTCACCTGGTTAGTAGGGAGAAAATGGCTGGAAAATTGCATGTGTTTACAAATAGATTTATTACAATTCACCAATAGCTATTTCCAAGTTTCGTTTGCTAGTGCCTTTCGAAAATCAGAGTTTCGATGTTGATTAGGCAATGAGGTCACCCGGAGGGATCTTTTTCCAAAAGAGATATAAATATGGAGCAGGTTTCAGCAACTGGATAAGCTAAAAAAAGCACAAGTCACTTTTGACATTCGTATCTGAAACGAGAATTATCTATCGCCTTCGCAAATTTGTGCCGCAGAGGCACAATGATTAGCAGTAATGGCAGACTATGCGGTCTATGAGGCATCCATCGACAGGTTGATTGCCTATATCTCCAGCTGGTTACGTCGATAATTTAACCTATACCTGTCAACCCTGAACAGCACAGTACACTCATGACCTTCCTCGTGTATCGGAACCACTTTTGAGACACGTTTCTCGAACGCGGTTGCGGATAAAGCCGTGAAAGCTATGTTTATATCACACCATAGAGCATTCTTCCGTCACTGTACAGCGATAGTGTAAAACCGTGGGTCCATTATTTAAAAAAAGACTTCTGATTCCGTCGATTATAGTGAATTCTGGGTCTGTCTGTCTGACTCACAAGAGTTATAGGACAGAGATTCACTATCCACCCTCTATATGTGCTGTTTTATTCCACATCTAAGTGTGACGAACAGCAGACGGAGCGGACCTCATAGTCACGAGGACCTGCTGTTCAGTGATTTAAATCGGCAACCTAAGACCAGGGACTTGGAGTGGCGAACCACACAAGACAAAGACAAGGTCGCTCCTGAGATGGTCTGCCAATCGAGTTCAAAACTAACAGTGTCTCCTAGCTCTGTTTACTTCCTAGCGGTTCTGGATGTGATCTTACAAAAGATTGCATGCTCGCGTGAGACTGGTAGTGGTGATAATATCTATCAATGACCTAAAAAGTTCCGACTAACTTATGTCAAAAATACCACACTGCTACGCGAAGACCCAAGTAAGTCGCAAACATTATTTGATTATCTGCATTTCACCGGGAGTGATGCGTGTTACTTTGCCCTATCAAACTGTGAGACACTATCACACGATCAAACCAATTAACCTCAAAATTCAACATTGAAGAGAAGAAATGAACACTGTTAGTTTCGGTCAACAAAATTGTACCATGTGAACGTATCCCAGATACGGACAGCTCGTTTGATGCTGACCGGTAGCGGGTGATTGTCGTGCTATTGATCTATCCGCTAGGAGTTTAGTGTGTGTATGTCAGCATAGCAGACTGGACACAGTTCACTCTGTGTGAAACCAGAAAAGAAAGCCAACCGAGTATCGGTGTTTGAGCACTGTTCCGTTTGTAGTTGCCCTCAAATGAAACTAGAAAACTGAGTTATTGGTGGAGCATGCACGTCATCGGACAAACCACGTTCTCGACGCATGATGCGCTCCGAGAAAGTTAATGAACTGGGTCAAATTTTCGTTACCCACTGAAAATCCTCCGTCATATGGTCAGTTATTGTGGTGTTTTCGCATCTATTCTCTTTTATTCGTTGGTGCGTGTTTCACCACACATTACTTTGTTCTTATAATTCATTTTCCTGTTGACCTATTGACACGAAACATGAAATTCGAGTAAATAATAGTAATGATCGAATTCAAAACGGTTCTTTTATGCCTCAGTATTCTCTATAATCGTTCAGCAAATCGTAAAATCAATACAATCACCGACCTTGAACTTTGGCGGTTTTTATTAATCGAATGAGATATTTCAGCATGAGCTAGAAAACAAATGTTACATGCAAATAAAGTTGGCAAAGAGTAAAATGGTGGCATTTGAGTCGGTGACTCTGCATTTCCAAGCATTTTTTTGAGGAACACTTGAACGACGTGCGGTCGCTCAAGTTGTGCGCTCCCGGTTTAATCGAAATATTTCTGCGAAATCTCGTGGTACATCGTCGAGTCTACGTTCATTCGATCCAGTTCTGTGAGCTCTATCTTGTGATATC